CATCATCAGTGATTTTATAGAGAAACTAATATATACTGGTCACTAATAAGTCTAATAATCCTTCTCCATCCTAGTTTTGCAATGATTAGGTTTTCTTACTCTAATAACATACATTGCAATCACGGCAAAGTGCAGAGATGACTGTAACTTTTAAGATAGAAAATGTGTTCCCCCTACTCCTAAACAATGGGTTGCAGACACCAATTTTAATATTGTGTTCATGGCTATGAATTGTGTTAGATTTCTTGGATGGTTCCAACCTAAAACCAATTGGTAATAGGTGGAGTAGCCTCTAGAATTTATTAACCAAGTTTGGGTGGTTTAAATGAGCAATGTGGGATAAGTCTAACAAATTGTGCAATGATAAAACAAAAAAAAAAGGCTAAAAGAGTATCAAAACGCACACAAGTTACTAGAAATTAATTTCGAACAATTGAACATTACAAGGTGTTGAGGGAGGTTTTGGGGATAATAAGTTTTTTTTTTTTTTTTAATGGAGAAACAACCTTACAGCCAAGCTACTAAATAAACCTGACTGTATAACCCAAACCTCCGGGGAACTAACGCGGTCACACCAATCACGGCCCCCACACTTACTAGAGGGTACTCACCCGGTGGAGAATCGAATCCATGACCTTGAAAAGTACTCCCACAGCTTAGACATCTGTCTGAACCACTAGGACAACCCTTGAGTGTGTTGGATATAATAAGTTGAGAGAAATAGATAAATTGACGAGAAACTTATTGAAAATCATCCCCTTGGGAGAACCCAAATGAAACAAAAGCCATGATTGGGGTACATCCGCCAGTTCACTCATGTCTAGTTATTAAGCTAATTAACTAATCTTTTGCACCTTGAACCATTTTATTTGGTGGTGGCAGTGCTCAACACCCATATTTACTACACATTTTTGTGGGACCAAGTATTAAGTGTATTTTCGGTAACAAGGTTAACGGTAGATATTAAGTGTAGGGACTCCAAAAAATGTGCTATGAATAAAAATATTAGAGCATCACGGGGCAGCGCTCTAAAATTACTGAGATAATTAGTCGACACGTTCATGGGATGAAGAAGTTCAGAAATAACACAAGCCAAGTCAACAAAGTCGTGCAGTAACCTCCATGTGGGCAAGTCACCTGCATGAATGTGGTAAGATAAATTAATTACACCCAATTAATGAGTCAATCTGTACTGTACGTATCTATGTCAAAGTCTACGCTCTGAACCCATCTCATTTACTCGACTGAATTAAGTGGTTGAAAGTCATTAAACCAGCTTGGTTCAGTTCGGTTCGGTTCGTAAAAGCTTATTAATTTCGAAAGAAAAAGCTGAATTCAAGCTTGAGCTCGATTATTTTAAATTTATCGTTATACTGTTTATTTTAAGTTTACGAGCATAATCGAACCAGATACTCTAAGGGTTGGGCTCGCTCACTTATGATACGAGGCTAAAAATGAGGCATGGGTTTGATTTGGTTTGTTAGTAAATGAATCTAATTCATAACAAGGTTTTATATCGAACAGTTCGCGAGCAACTCAACGTTTATTTACAGACTTTTACAGTCCTTTAATTACCCGCCTCAATACTCCTCCCCTCTGCCCCCTCTCTTATAATAACACTATCCTCCATGTGACCCTCCCCATCTGAAACACAAACACACACAAAATCGCTCATCCCTGCCAACTAAAATATCCTCTCTCTCTCTCTCTCTCTCTCTCTCTCTCTCTCTCCTCCACCCCACCGCCGTAACAATGACGGCCTGCGGTCACCACCACGACCACCGGAAAAAGCTCTACCACAAAATCGGCGCCGCCCTCGTTGCCCTCATACTCCTCGTCCTACTCATCATCCTCCTCGTCTTCCTCATCCTCCGCCCAACAAAACCCAAGTTCATCCTCATCGACGCCACCGTCTACGCCTTCAACGTCTCCGCCCCCAACTTCCTCACCACCACCCTCCAGGTCAGTGACAATGACGGAACTAGTAGTTGGCTTGTGGTGGCCAAGGCCGCACCCAATTCGAAAATCTCAATAATTATCTACTACTTCTTTTTTTAAAAAAAACTTTACATGATGGCACCATGTTATTAGGGGCAAATTTTTGTATTCGTCCATGTAGTTTTACGGTTGTCTCATTTTCGTCCATCTAGTTTCAAAGTGCTCCAATTTCGTCCATGTAGTTTGTTTTATGCTCCAAATTGGTAAAATCATTAACACCGTTAACGAAACTAACGGAAAAATATGGTTAAAAAATTAAGCGCTCCAATTTTCAATCCGGTTGAACCGATGCGAAGATCTTATTTTTTTATCATTTTATTCTAAATGGTCGTAATGAATTTTTGGCTCTAAGACTTTTCACCGAGCACCCGAAAACTCCTTATTTAGTTTCAGGGCTCTCTTAGGGTGCTCATTATGACCATTTAAGATAAAATGATCAGAAAAATAAGATATTCGCACCGGTTCAAACGGATTGAAAATTGAAACACTTATTTTTTTTACACCGTTTATATATTAAAAAATATAGTTAAAAAATTAAGTGTTCCAATTTTCAATCCGTTTGAACCGGTACGAATGTCTTATTTTTCTGATCATTTTATCTTAAATGGTCACAATAGATTTTTGGCTCAAAGGCCTTTCAATGAGCACCCTAAGAGAGCCCTGAAACTAAATAAGGAGTTTTCGGGTGCTCGTTGAAAGGCCTTAGAGGCAAAAATTCATTACGACCATTTAGAATAAAATGATAAAAAAATAAAATTTTTACACCGATTCAACCGGATTGAAAATTTGAGTACTTAATTTTTTAATCATATTTTTCCGTTAGTTTCGTTAACGGTGTTAACGATTTTACAAATTTGGAGCGTAAAACAAACTACAGGGAGGAAAATTGAAGCACTTTGAAACTAGAGGGACGAAAGTGAGACAACCGTAAAACTACAGGGACGACTACAAAAATTTGCCCTTTTATTAGTTGTATTTTGTTGGTTAAGATCACCTAGATATAGTGTTTTGTATTGTGTATTATTTTGACATTGAAATGTTTTAGATTACCGAATCTTGAAATTTCCAAATTGCGGGCCCTCCCGTTTAAAATCGTGGTTCCGTTCCTGCAGGTAACCCTCTCCTCGCGGAACCCAAACGACCGCGTCGGAGTCTTCTATGACAGGGTGGACGTCTACGCCACTTACCGCGGCCAGCAGATCACCCTCCCCACCACGCTGCCGCCAACCTACCAGGGACACAAGGACGTCAACGTCTGGTCGCCGTTCGTCTACGGCAACGCGGTGCCGGTGGCGCCGTACTTGGCGGCGGCGCTGGGGGAGGACCAGGTGGTCGGGAGGGTGCTGGTGAATGTGAAGGTGGACGGGAGGGTGAGGTGGAAGGTGGGGACGTGGGTGTCCGGGAGGTACCACTTGTACGTCAACTGTCCGGCTTATATTGTGTTCGGCGGCGACAAGGTGAACAGCGGCGGCGGGATTGCTGTTGGATCGGGTGTTAAGTTCCAGTTGGTGCAGAGTTGCCTTGTTGATGTTTGAGCCTAGTTATTGACGAGTACTTAGCAATATAGTTCTCGAAAATTTGTTCGGTAGTCACGTGGCGGTGACCCGAGACTACTTAGAAAATTATGGTGGAGCACTACATGACCGTTGCCCAGTAGTTTCCTTTCATTTTGATTTGCGAAAGGGAAGAAAGACACGTAGAATTTATGTATAATTTCGTTTGATTAAGGGGAAAGGAAAATTGATTAATTCGGTTTCTACTGGTATTTGATTACTGTTTTTTTGTTTTCATTAATTTGGTTCTGCGTAATTGGTTTGTCCATCATTGATCAATCTTTGTTGTGGTCAGGGATCGATCCTCTGTGAATGATACATCTACTCCTTTTTCCAGTGCATTTTACAATGGACGATGTAATAAGGGGCGGAGGTATATGGAGGGGGAGTGACACGTACCACCCGGATCTCAAAATTAAAAAGTTCGTTTACAAGAGAAGTCGATTAAGAGCTTGTCAATTATCAGTATCCGAATAATTTGATCTTTTACTTAGACAAGTGATGAACAAACATCGAATTGAAAAATAAAGAGTTTGGGATCATAAAAATAGTCTCTCAATAAAGAGTTTTGATTCTACAATTGACATTTCTCTTTATATTTCAAGAAACCACATGCGCGGAATAGTAGATGGCTCCCATCGAACAACATCATTCTCAATCTAAATCCTAACTCCGCCACCGAATGCAACAGGAGAGAAACTTATTCACGGCTCCGCACGATCTCGGCCGCTCGTTTTGGCTTTGGACGGTCTGGATTTAAATGAAACTTTTTTGGAAAAGAGTTAAACTTTTCTCCAAAAGAAAGTTTTACTCGTATTACCATCCGGACTGTCCAAAATACTTTTGGACGATCGAAATTGGTTCCGTAAAACTATTCACGGCTCCACCGTTAAAAAGACTTTCTCATGAGCAAAATTTCGTGTACTTGAACACATGAGAATTGGAAAAGCGCAAATCGGTGTTCCCCGGGACACTCCTTCAACTATGGGTGAGATAAATTTTGAAAGTTCATATTTGACTGGAGTTTCATGATCATTAAACACCTTCAAAAGCTACCCATGTGGCTTAGTCAAGTATTTGTCATTCATAAGATCGCATGTTCGAATTTCACGAAGTCTAAACATTCTAAACTTGGGTTCCGTTGCTGGAGGCCAGGGTTTGTCCGATCGTAAACTTTAAGAGCTTCAAGATTAGTCGAGGCGCGTGCAAACTAGCCTGAACATCGAGTTATCAAGGGGAAAAAAACACATTTAGAGTTTCCACGTTGATGTTTGAGGAGTTGGTTCTCTGTCCCTCTCTCTTGAGTTTCTTTCCTTCATTTCTTTTTGCAAAGGAAAGTTGAAAGTTAAAGCTTAAAAGTTCTAATGGTTTTGTTATGGGTTTGTATGGCTTTCAAGTCCATGGAATGCATATTTTCGTAAAGTATGATCGAGAGGAAAGGAAGTTACACACCCAGTGGTTGTCCCAGTGGTAAAGGCGAATGACTGACTTTGGGAGAACTCTCATTGGTCAAGGGTTCGATTCCCCACCGGGTGAGTACCCTAATAGTAAGTGGGGGGCCGTGACTAGTGTGGCCGTGCTAGTTCCTCCCGAGGTTTGGGTTGCGTAGTCGGATCCAATAGTGACTCGGCTGTAGAGCTGTTTCTCAGTTATAAAAAAAAATAAAGAGAGAGAGAGAGAGAAAAGAGGAAAGGAAAGTTGATTAATTCGGTGTCCCCTGGGACACTCTTTCAACTAGTGTAACTAATAAGGTGACTTGACAATCCCTGCCCAGTGCAGTTGGTATGTCATCTCTCCCCTAAAGAAAAGTTGATTAATTAGGTTCGATTCATGTTGGAACAATACCCTTGGGTCCCAAGCTATGGATAACTTCTGGATCCCGTGCTAATCCTAACACCCCCCACTAACCCTCGCTGATGTATAACGATTGAAAAAAAAAAAAAAACTAATAAGGTGACTTTAATTTTAGAAGTTTCAATGAAGGTAAATTGACTAGAGTATACCTTCAAAAGTTGTATTCTTTTCCAACTTCTGTGGTAGTTGTTACGGAAACAATTGGAAGACTCTGTTCGGATTGGATTTTAATGAAGGTTTTTAAAATAATAAGTGAAGGAAAATAGATAGAAAAATATGAGTAATAATTTAAGAGAAAACTTACTGGGTACCGTACGCAGAGAGAAGAGTTGGTTCTAGAAACCCGAAGTGACTGCAGTCTTCGAGCATACATACCAAAGCTATCCGTTTTGAACTGTCATTTTTTTTATTTTTAAACACGATGTACTAATTTATTTCCTCTTTTTCTGTTGCCATTCTTTGCTTCAGCCATTTTTTTTTTTTTTTTGCCACACTTTATACATCAGTGGGGATTAAGGAGTGTTCGTAAGTTAGTCCTAGATCCACAAACGACCACGACGGTACTTGAACCCTGACCTCCCACAAAGAAGAACCCGGAAATACCATTGAGCTACGAGCCCTTTGGCGCTTCAGCCATTTGTCCATGCATATTCTCTCAATAATGGCAACAAGAATGGCTGTGCCATTTGTGCCGCATCATCAAACCCGATAACCAATTTCCTTCTACAGCCGCGAGATCGTACTAGGTTTCCGGAGCTGCCAATCTTCGCCATTGCCGGCCGAAGCGGCCATTACAGGGGAGGAGAAATTCAAGAGGAACCCCATTTTTTTGGGTCTCCTAGCTTATGCTTCTTCTAGCGTTCTCACATCTTGTAGAGAATGTTAGTTGATGAAAATTAGCTGTAAAGGATTACAAAGGAACTTTGCACAAAAGAAAAAGGAATTGCAGTATTGCACCAAAAATGAACTCCAATTCCTTACCAAAATGTGACTAATTCATTGTCAAAAATTTGCAATGGCTCAAGTCATTTTTACTTGATCATTGGGCTTGCTCTATAACTAATATCGTATCAGGAGAAGCAAAGCACATGGAACGAGGTAGCGATTTTCTTTCTATCTCTATTCTTCTGTTAAGAACATAGTAAGACGTCGCCGATCAAGAAAAACACAACAACATAAGAAGTAGATGAATGCATTTTTTCCAAAGCGAATCGTAGCGTTTTCGTCGTCTACTCTTTGAAAAAGATGAATCAAGCAAAATATTTCATCCAATAAGTTGGGATCCAAACACAGACTTCAATTCTGAGGCACAAAATCGATGTGTTTCTTTTGGTTCACCTACTTCTACTCTCACCCATGTGGGAGCATGTAATTATTAGGTTTTAGGTGCACCTGGAAGGCTGGAATTATTACGTAAATAGCCTTGGTATCCCAACTTAAGAATATGCATCACAGCCTTAGCCACATATAATTCTTTAAAATGTCTTGCATTACTGCTCTCAATCCTCACATTGCGCTCGCGCTTCCATACATCGGTCTCCCAAATTTTTCATAATTTAAGAAGTGTATAAAAATGTTTTTACGCTCGTGCACCCACTCCTGTACAAGCACATTAATTATGTGACTTAGATCCCAACCATGTTGAGACCCATACCATTACCCAAGAAAAATCATGTGTGGAAGCTATCACCGAAGAGAAAAAACAAAAACATCCAACAAAACAAACGCTTGATCCTAACGAGTGGTATTAGAGTCAAATGTCCAGAGTTTAACTCTCCTGGATAGCACCTTGCTTGTGGGCAAGTGCTGGAGAGGGGATTGTTGGGCAGAGGCCAGGGGGCCAAGTCTCAATTGACCCGTTGGCACTTGGGATAATAAGCGTTTGCTCCTAACATAAACATCTGCTTCATTAACACCTGTGGATTTCGGTGAGATGATAAGCGTTTGCTCCTAACATAAACATCTGCCTAAGCCATCCACAGAGGTGGCTTCAATGTTAAATTTTCCCTTGATACAAATTGCAACCCTTGTTTTAATCAACTCCCCAATTCATTCCAATCCGAAGCACTAATATTTAAAACCCGATGATCTAAAAAATATTGAAAACCTGAAACAATGATATTACAAAAATATCAGTCAATAGGATCTACTGGAACATAACATCACAATAGTACAGTTGGGTCCCCTATTTGCAGATGTTCTAGGGCAGGGCTGCAGCTGCTGCAGATAGAAGATGCATCCCTTGCATTTACAGGAAACCATCAAACATCAACCACCCCGAAAGAAATAATCGAAGTGAGAAAATTGATTGGATGACCCAAAAGATAAGATGACTAGAGACTATTGTTGGCCTAAAAAGGGAACAGAAAGTGACCTCGTGCATTTAGTTGGATAGAATGAAATGTAAATCGGAATGGAAAGGAATTGGAGGAATTGAGACTGGAATAATCATTCCCATTCCCATGTTTTGTTGTGGCTAGGAATCAATAGCAAGAACAAACTTTTGCATTCCAATTCCTATGTTTGGTATGCTAGAATCACATCTGAATGGAATTAAATTTGGAGTGGCATTAGCAAGTTTTGGAGTGGCATTACTAATTATGTGAGTCACATTAACAATCCAAATAGGGATCATGGAATGAAATTGTAATTCTCTACCTTTCAAATGGAATAGCTATTCCTTTTCATTTGGAAATTGGATTGGCTATTCCTTTTCATTTGGAAATTGGATTGGCTATTCCTTCAATTTTTAGTAAATCAAACATCCGAGTAAACATTCCATAGGAATAATAACCATTCCATTCAACTTCCCATTCCATCAAACCAAACCTTGCCTAAGAGTACCAGAGTACCAGACAGCTACAGACAATAGACAGGGATTTACTGTTCCTTCACCCTCTTCCGTGCTAGAAAGCGTTCTTTAGCGGCAGCGACTGAATCTTCATTTCTCTTATGGTGGTGATCACGTCTTGGTTGGTCTGCCAATGGTTGTTCACCAACAGCTTGTGCAGAAGCATCAGGAATTGGTTTTGCCTCTATGGGCTCAGATCTCTCCTCGGAAATCCTAGAAGCAGGTTTTGCCTCTATGGGCTCAGATCTCTCCTCGGCAACCCTAGAAGCCTCATCCCGAGGCCCCTTGCTCAGCTCCGTAGACTCCAAGGACGATTTAGTCAATTGAGGTCTTTCTTCTGATGTACCAACACTCGCTTCTTTTTGCCGCTTCCCGGATTTCCTTGTCTCAGCCTCTTGGGCACCAAATGCAACATTCTTTGATAGGTTGAAGTAAAAGTCAGTGATGTCTTTCTTCTTGGTAACCTTCCAGCAGAAATAGAAAGACAAATAGATCATCAATGAACAATGATCCCATAAAATAAAGACAATGAAGTTTATTGATTTTCTAACATCTGCTAATAATAACCAGATCGGATCATACCAAGGGAACAAAAAAACAAGGCAAACAAGAGTAAGAAATCGTGCTAATATAAAGATTCAACAAATTTAGGAACCAGTGAGGAAAATTCCAATGAACCTATCCACAAGTTTGAAAGGACACTGAAAAAGATGAACACGCGCACATAAGAAACACCATTTTTTTTATCGGCACATAAGAAATGCCATTCTCTGATACTACACCTCTTCAGCTGAAGTTGCTTGGAATGCTGGAGTGAATACAGACACATTGAATAGACACATCAAAGAGAGTCGCACTCTAAGCGATATAGTGTTTGACAGTATCTTCACCAAAAAGTGCTCATGCAACATGATCTACAGAAGCATTACAAAATGCCCAGGCAACTCTCTTTGGGGGCAACAATCCTATTCTCCAAAGCAGGACTAAACCAAACTGTTTTATCCTCCCAAAAAGTACCAATAATGGATTTTGATTAGGGAAAAGTACAGGAAAATGCATGCAAGAGTTGTTTCCAAAGAAAATTTGCACCACCATAATATTCCACTAGAACAATGGGAAATCAGTAGTACCGAGAAATAAAAAACAACCAAACTTCTAGTTCCTCTTACAGTTCACATGGAAGGAACTCTCCCTCTCTCTTCTTCAACTCATGCTCTTAACTTAATTTCCTCCTTTGTATTGTGTTCTAGGATCAATATTGCAAGGATGTGACACAGTAAGCAACAGTGTCTTGTTAACATTTCAAAAAGAAAGCCCTATTGTACTAATTTTATATTTTTTCTGCCGATCAAAAAAAAACATTCCTGTGCAGTAACCATCTCTACACTTGCACCAGTGCCAGGAACCACCACACCTTTTCTTTCAAGAAAATCAGCCTTTCCTCCTCTTCTTCCTACAGGCCACATGGGTCGTCTTCTTCTCCCAAAAGAACTCAACTACAGAGAACCCAATTTGTCAAAGCCATGTCTTTCAATTCCAGATCTGGGAACAAACCAGTAGAGGTACTATTCTCTATCACTATATCTGATTTGGGTTATTGTCAGTTAAATTTCTGGGTTTTTTTTTCCTGAGTAATTTTGGTGTTGCTTATCACTGAAGTGCTAAATTTGTGGCCTTGTGGTCCTTTTCCTGCGTTTGTAGATAGTGTATGATCCTGATGAGAGGTTAAATAGATTAGCGGATGAGGTGGATAAGAATGCGGGGCTTTCAAGGCTCACTCTATTTTCACCTTGCAAGGTAAGATAATCTAATCAAAACCTATGGTTTTAAG